CGTGTCCAGGCTTAATTCGGTTTAACGCCGCTAAAGTCGACCTAAACCCGTAGTGTAGACCAGGCCTTTGAGGGTGACACCTTGTGTCCTTTCATTGCTAAGGCACATAAAAACTCTATCGAGTCCTGCTCATTAATTAGTCTCTTGTGTTTCTGAGCATAATAAAAGATCATCCACACACAAAAGCAACATAGACTGTCCTGGGAGAATTACATCTTGTAAATCTTTATACAACACAGCTGAAAATATAGCGGGGGATTCCACATACCCCTGAGGGAGATGCCCCCATGATATCTGGGATGACCCCCTAAAAATGACTCAATTAAAGGAGTCAGTCCCTCTATTGCCTCTCGTGGGAGAGGGTATTGGGGAATGCGAGGGGGGTCTATGTCTGTCCTAACACATATCCGAACTGGCTCAGCTGACTTTAGTAATTCCACGTCAGTGTTTTTTATTCCCCATACCCAAGGTGAGACAGCATTTTCCAGTTCCCTGGGAAGCATTGCTAAATATAAAGGAGTTTCATGATTCATTAGAGCCATCAAGGGAATGACAGAGTCATTTGGCAGGCTCAAAAGAATGCCTTGGTCAGAGCAGTGAATAGTAGCCCGGAGTTTGCACAGCAAATCGTGTCCCAATAAAACTGGTTGGTCCTTGGGTAAGTAGGAAAGTGTGTTCCTCAGACAGGGGCCCTATGTGTATGCTTAAAGGTTTGGAAATCTGACAACGAAAAGGATTTCCTTCAATTCCCATAACACGTTCAATTTTGCCACTTTTAGGAAGATCCAAATCAGTAAGGATGGAAAGGGTGGCTCCTGTGTCTAATAAGCAATCATACTGTTTTCCTCCAATCATCAAAGGAATTAGGGGATCATTGCAGGATAAGGAAAACACTGGGCAACATAACAACGTGGAACCCCCTTTATCCCATCAGTCATAAAGTCCCCCATTCTGCATTACCCCCTGGAAGGGTTGATTAGGCGGTGTCCAAGCTGGACCTTGGCCCTTATTAACACCTTGAGGAGCTTTAAGTTGTCCCTGGGCTCTCAGTTTACAATCTCTGTTCATGTGCCTTTCTTGATGACAGTAATAAATTAAAAGTCCTCTGGACCCCCCTTTATTGGGTCCCACTCTACCAATGAACCCTTGTCCTCTTCCTCGGCCTCTGCCGACACCAGGCTCTGCTTCCTTCAATACAGCCACCAACATTCTTATATTCCCTTTTTTCTTCCTTCACCCTCTCAGGCTTTCGTCAGGCTTCTCACCCATTAAACACTCTGAGAGAGCGGCATCCCTGCAAATTTTCCACATCATTTAATCTCCACCTTATATCTTCTGCAGCCTGGTCTCTAAACAATCCTCTTATCACTGGCATATTTGCCTCTGCTTTAGGATCTAGACCCCCAAACAACCTAGCAGCTTTCATCAGTCTTTCATAATAGTCTGGGGGGTGTTCATGTGGGCCTTGATGGACAGAAGTTACTTTACTCCAATTAGTAGTTCTCTGCCCAGCCTTCTTAATTCCATTTAAAATTACAGTCTTTAAAGAGGTTAACTTATATTGTTCTCCAGCATTGTTGTAATCTCAGTTAGGATCACCCCCAGTTACATCTCCTGCTGTCAGGGCATTCCGTCCTGGTGGGGGGTGGGGGTAAATCACCTATAGACTCCTGAGCTCGACTGAGCACTAGTTTCCTTTCTTTCAATGTCCTATGTACAGATTCTGGGTTGTCCCTGACCCTTGGGGTGGTAATCTTTCAATTCAATAGGTCACTGATAGAGAAAGGAGTGTGGACAACCTGACCCTCTCCGGTATGAACAGGGTACTGTTTTAAGGGCAATTGGAGTACCGGAAGGTCCTGTCCTCCTTGTTTAATTAACTTGAAATTGACGTTTCCATGAACACACTCGGGAGACTAACTCCATGAGCCGGTCGAGGAGTCAGGCAGACTTCTCCTGCGAACGTGGCTTCAGGTATTATAGGCCACTGGCAGATCAGGATACGATGTGGCTTGGGGTCGGGATAGGGTTAGAGGCAGATCCTACACCGGTGCAGAGGCGGTCCCTGGGACCACCCGATTTACCTGAATGGGAAGGGGTTGAGGGGACACAGCTGGTTGGGAAACAGGCCTATAATCATCTTCCTCTACTCTACACTGCTGGTAAGGAGGAGGTTTAGTTTGTTGTAGCATGAGAGTGCACTCTTTATCTTTGCAAATTGGAGCAACGCTATAAAACAAATACAAATAATTCATTCGTTCTGGTCTTAAATCTTCCAGGATGGTTCTCAAGGTTTTGAGGCGAAGTCTTCCCCAATTCCTGAGAACACATCCCAGAAGTGTGCCGGCATCGAATTTCCCCTGACAATTTCCCATGTCAGGTCTAACTGACTCCTAAATTCCCTGCTTCAGTTCTCCACCATCCGCAGTGTTACCGAGACGCAGTCAGTGACGGTTTCCTTTATGTCTGGGGGAGACCACCCAGCCTATCCAGTCAGCCTCCGTTCCTGCCTGGGTAATCTCCTGTCATCTGAAACTTGTTTTTATACTGGGCTGGCACTCTAAAAGTGTTTAACTGTCAGATGGATGTCCCAGTAATTTCACCGAGGCTGTCCAAAGGAAACCGTCGGGTTTAAGACCCCCGTGTACACATAACATAAAACAGAGACAATTTACCCGTCTCCTGATGAGGCCTCTTCCAACGCGATCTGTCTCGTTGCTTGTGATCCGTCTCTCAGAATCCTCCTTATCGTCCCTGCCTGGGGCCAACTCCCAAGACAATACAACCCAAGGTAAACTCACCTCAGCGCGCGCTGGTCCTTCTCGAGGAAGGGGCCCCAGAGCGGTTCCGAGCTGGAGAAGTCCCTTTGTGGTCGCCAAAACTGTTATAGAAATTTCTGTCCGTTCCAGCTGAGGAATAAGGAGAAACAGACACAGCTAATCAAGCAAGGAGCCCCGGGAGGGGCGATCCATTTATTTCAATTGCAATTGGGTTCAAGCTCATAAGTCAGCAAGAACAAAGAAAACACTTACACCAAAGCATTATATGCAGTTGCTTATGATAATCTATCGCTCTATGATTGGCCAAAATTTGCCATCATTACCATACATAATTAGCAAGCTACATGTATCTGCCCCTCTTATGACCCCTTATTGTTCATCTGTTTACCCCCTCCTCCTTGCTTATTTTGCAAACTAAGTGGTTAGCTATCTACAGGACGCAGGCACAGAAAGGTCCATTGTCTCCAGGTTTGGAGTTTGGCTACATTTCCTCTTGAAGGAACTTCCTGACTACCTATAGCTAACCCTGCATTTTGTCCTTCTTCTTTCTCCCATGTATATGTAACAAATTTGCCCCCTGGCAGTTAAGTAGAATAATTTTATATCAATGGTATGCAGTTTTGACTGACTGTCCCGAGGCTCCAGCTTTGTCTGCTCCTGGTCCTACCAAAGGAGTGTCTGGCTGGCTGCTCTGCAGTTCTCCCCCAGAACCACATGGTGTGGAGGTGGGGGAGGCACCACCAGTGTCATCCAGCCCCTGGGAGGGGGGACTCCCCAGCACAGTTCAGGGTCCAGGCCCTCCCACGCGCCGACGTGCAGCAGTCCCTGCTTTGCCTGCTTCTGCTCCTGCCCTCTGTTGGTTAGGGTTACCATATTTAGTGCCTCCGAAAGGAGGACACTCCACGGGGCCCCGGCCCCGCCCCGCCCATGCCCAACTCCGCCCCTCCCCAAAGTCTCCGCCCCCTCCCCTGCTTCCCGCGAACATTTGGCACCGCCGGCCCGTCCCCCGAGCCCCCGGCCCGGCCCGGCCTGGCACCGCCGGCCCGGCCCCCGAGCACCCACACGGCCGGCTCCGCATGTCCCGATTTTCCCGGACATGTCCGGCTTTTTGGGATTTCCCCCCGGACGGGGATTTGGAGCCCAAAAAGCCGGCCATGTCCGGGAAAATCCGGACGTATGGTAACCCTACTGTTGGTGATAATCATGACTCTGGATCTGTCTGCAGTGGAGCTGGAGGGGTACTGCCCAGCTCGGGTATACATACATGTGCTAGCTCTGGGCAAGCTAATGTAATCAAAATCACAGTGTAGCTGCAGCAGCGTGGGCAGCGGGACGGGCTAGCTGCCTAAGTATGGACCGGCAGGAGCGGCTCGAGCTGTTTTGCTGGGCATGGGAAAAACATTTTTAGTGCCCCCACTTCCCAACCTGGGTGGCAGAGAGAAAACCCCCCGTGCTGACCAGTCAGCACAGGAAATGGGGCAGCCAATCACAGAAATGCAGCACCCTCTGGCAGGGCCGGCTCTAGGATTTTTGCCGCCCAAAGCAAAAACAATTTTGGCCGCCCCCCTTCCCGGTTCTTTAATTACCCCACCCCTGGCCCCGCCTCAACTCCGCCCCTTCCCCAAATCCCCAGCCCTGCCTCCTCCCCCCAGGCTCTCAAGCCTAGGAGGGAGTGGGAGAAGCGGCGCCCACGCCGCGGCCACTCGGAGTCTCCCCCCCTCCCAGGTTTGAGAGCCTGGGGAGAGAGGGAGGGGGAGACTCCGAGTGGCCACGGCGCGGGCGCCGCTTCTCCCCCTCCCTCCCAGGCTCTCAAGTCTGGGAGGAAGGGGGAGCAGCGGCGCGCGAAATAGCCGTTTCGCGCGCCGCGGCCGCTTGGGATCTCCCCCTTCCTCCCACGGTTTGAGAGCCTGGGAGGGAGGGGGAGACCCCGAGCTGCTGTGGCGCGCGAAACAGCTGTGGCAGCAGCAGCGGAGGTGAGCTAGGGGTGGCTGGGGCACATTTTTAGGGGCGGCAT